GGTCTCTCTCCTTCGCGTCCAGGGCGCGGACACGCTCCTCCAGCGCCGTGGCGCGAACCTCAAGGGCCTCTTCGCGCTGGCGGGACGCCGCCTCTTTCTCCGCCGCCCGCCGTTCCCGGGCAGCGGCGGCATCAAGGACTCCCCGGGCGGCGTCGAGCTTCTCCTCCAGCTCCGCCGCCCGGCTCCCGTATTGGAGGCGGAGGTCGTTCCGCGCCTCGTCGAGCACGGCGGTGGCGATGAGGGCAGTCTCCCGCTCCTCCTCCACCTCCCTGGCGATCTCCGCCAGCTCCCTACGACGGGCCTCGAGCTGTGAGGTGTGCCGGCGGTGCGCCTTGCGGCCCGCCTCCACCATGGCCTCCACCGAGCGCCGCCCCTCCTCGACGCGCGCCCACGCCGTGTCGAGCTCCGCCTGCAGGGCCTCCATCTGGGCACTTAACATGTCCAGCACTGTGCTGTTCGCGGCGGCCAAGGCCTGCAGGAAGGGCTCCGCGCTCAGTGGGGCAGCAGAAGACAGAGGGGAGAGCCGCCTCGGTGTGGGCGCCGCGCGGCTCGGCCCGCCGATCGACGTGCCGGGCTTGGGGGCGTCCCTCGAAGCTGGCTCGTCCCAAGTGTCGCCCGAGGGGTCGGGCCCGAGCAGCGCGCCCGCGGCCTCGTCGTGGGTGGCCTCGGAAGTTGTCGCCGCCTCGGGCGGAGTCGGGTCGGGGGTTTGGCAGGCCGCCTGGCGTGCGCGCGCCGCCTCTGCCTCCCGGACGGACTCCCCGGCCCGGCGGAGTCTGGCCTCCTCCCGAGCTGCCTCCTCAGCCTGGCGAACCCGGACGGCCTCCTGGGCAGCCTCCTCGGCTTCCCGGAGACGGTCCGCGGCTTCTCGCCGGTCAGCTTCCCGCCTCCGGGCCTCCGCGGTCGCCGTCTCCTCGGCCTCAGACCGGCCGGACTTGGAAGGGCGGGGGGGCGCGACGGGATCTCACTGAGGCGGAAGAAAAACCAGAAGACAAAAAGAAACGGGTGAGTGAAAACTTGCCTTGGGAGATGGGAGAATGAATATGGCCGCGATGGGCGCGGGGACGAACCTGCGGGGAGGTCGGCTAAACGACCACCTGGGGGCAAGATGAGGTTCCCCCGGCATGGCACAATCCCCCCCATCTTGCGGAGCCGTTTCTTCTTTCGCTCTCCCTCGGGCTGCGGCGTCGGCACGGCACCCTCCGGGCGCCTGCTGCTGGCACGCCCTGCCCCGCCCCCTCGGGGAGGAGATGGGGGAGGGGTGCCCTCCTGCTTCCTCCTCCCCCGGGCGTCGGCAGGGCGGCTGCCCCCCGGGCCCCCGTCGCGGGGCCCAGAAGCTCGACCCCCTCCCGGGGTAGATTGTTCCCCCCTGCGGCTCCCGCCCGCGCCATCGTGGCCTCGGGGGGCCCGCTCCCCCGACGCCCCGACCTCCTGCATGATGGTCAGGATGTTGGCGCGCTCTGGATCGCAGCAAAGGGGGAGGACCCCTTGGGGGATGAGGGATGCCTCCACGGAGCTGAGATTCAGCACCCGTTGGACCACCATCCTGAAGTCCTCAGGGTTCCAGTCCCATTTGCGCCCCTGGTGGGTCCTCATGATGTCCTCGGGCCCGGTGTACTCCCAGGCGCCCCGGGCGCGCCGCTAGAGCGGCGCGATCCGGCGACGAAGGTAGTCGCCGAACACCGTGGCCCCCGTGAGCCCCTGGGATCTCAGACCCGCCAGGCGGTCAAGAACGGCGTCGTAGCCGTCTCCCAGATCTACCGCCGCCCGCCAGCTGGAGGCCTGCGCCGGAGGCTGGCTCGGAAGTCGGAGGCGCGCTTCGTCGGCGAGGGGGGTGTAGAACCAATCGCTCTTCCAGTCGTCCCACTTTTTGCGAAGGACGCAGGGAATGTAGCGGTTCAGCGCCTGCCCTCGCGACTGGAAGTAGCAGCCACCGACTACCGTCGGCGGCGACACCGGCTGTACGGTGAAGAACCACCGGAATAGCCGGAGAGATGGGCGCACCCCGATAAACATCTCGCACAAGTGCGCAAAGATGGCTAACGTCATTATCGCGTTGGGGGTGAGGTGCGCCATCTGGAGATCATAAAACTCCAGAATATCCATGAAAAAAATAGAGAATGGCGGGACCAGCCCCGCCATTGCGAAAGAGAGGAAGAAGATGGACCGCCCCGGGTAGTGTGGCGCCGGGCGTCCCTCGCCCAGCGCGACCACCTCCCGGCCGGTGGCAGATTCCGGCATGAATCGGCGCGGCAGCCCGGCCTGCCTCTCGCTCACGATGCGGGAAGGCGGCAGCACGCTACCCTCAAGCGGTGCGGAGCCCCGTGCCATGACGCCGGTGGAGGAGGAGCTTGAGAGCGAGTGAGTATGGCAAGGGTAGGGCGCAGGAAACGGAGAGTCAGAGCACAAGTGGCGAAGGCAAGGGGAAGAGTGGCGAGAGGAAGGAAACAAATCCCTTCCTTGGCGTCTTTGTACCCTTGCCAACGCTATGTCCGGCTCCTCGCTTCCCGCGCCCACTACCTCGCCCCCTCGTTTCTCGCGCCCGCGTCTCCACTAACCCCACTCGCCCGTTTGCGGCGCACGCGGCAGATGTGCGGCCGTGGCGTTTGAGATGGGGCAGATCGTGCGCGCATTAACCGCGCTCGCCAACCGCGAAAAACGCCATCATCATGTCCCCAGGCGAAACAAACCGGCTCGTCCCGATTCGCGCGCTGCTCGAGTAATGTAGCGATCTTGAAGAGGCCGCTCATTATTGTCGATCGGTTTCTCCCTTGCCGATGCGCGCGATTTGCGACCGTTGGGTTTCTGCCCGCCTGTGGGGACCGGCCCCACCTGTCGCCGGGCCTAAGGAGTGGCATCACGCCCGATCGCCTCCCTCGAGGGGGGCGGTCGCCCTGGCGTGACGCCGGGGGCTACTGTCGGTGACATGGGGCCGGGGGTATCGTGACTAGAGGCTTGGGTAGCCGCGATCACTCACGTGGCCCGACCCCGGGGTCGGGCCCGACGGTGACGTGGCCACCCCACCCTCTGTCTCCCCGAGGGGTCGGGCCGCTCCCGTTTCGGCCCCGAGGGCTGGGGCACCCCGACCCCCTGTGGTGTTGGCGCCACGTGTGTGGGTTAGGTGAGCACAGCGGCGCTCACCTAACCGCATTTATAGCGGGTTAGACGAGCGCGTCACGCCGCATTCAATGCGGCGCAGCGCATGCTTATCCGGTCTGTGACCAGTCGCGGTATGTGACCGGTCACAGACCGGTCAGATCGCGGGTTAGGTGGCAACAGGCGGCCTGTCGCACGCCTCGCCCCGTCCCGTCGGAATGATGAGAGCTTCCTGGCTCTCGTCTCTAGCTGGAGCTGGCGTGCTGACTCCTGGAGTTGGTATGTCAGTCCCGGTCAGATCCATTCCAGGCTTCAGCGCAAGCATAGCAAGGAAGTCGCTGGCCAGTAAATGAAGGTTGAAGTGGGCGTCCCCGGAAAAAGCGGGCGGGCGAAGCAGGAGGCGTGCGTACTGCTTGTCAGAGGTCATTTCCGGCTGTAGATTAGCCCTCATTGTAAAAAAGCATGTTTCTTTTCTGAGGCAGCGAGAGGCCCATGTGGTGACCCCTAACCAGATAAAAAAAGGAGGCCCAGGCCTAAGGAGAGGGGGGGCGGAGGGGATTGGAGAGCCGGAACTCTCTCTCGCTCTCGAGCTCTCTGGCTCTAGAGCTCTCTGTATTCCTTCACACATAGATCCACCAAAACACAGGAGTAGGGTATTACGCTTCTCAGCGGCCCGAACCTGTCTACGTCGCCCGTGTCTTGTGCATTTTCTCTCTCGCTGACATTCTTCAGATCGAGGGCGAAGAACCTCACTTAGCGCCCCCGGCCGAACCGGCAAAGGGGGGCCTGCGCGGTCTCCCGGTGAGGAGCCCCACGCTCCGTCAGTATCTATAACTAATTAGAACCAAAAGTGCAAATTGAAGCATATGCAACTCATCACTAGAAAATCACAGCACTAGTAGTACTATTAATTTACTGGCATGTAACGTTGTGGATAGGTGCATAGTGCCAAGCAAGATAAATTGATTACTGGATTTTGTATAGCCTTGTCGAAAGTAGATGCTTCTTGGAAGAAAAATAAATGGAGATTTTGATGAACTCTGAAACAAACACTTGCAACCAACCAATCCATGTATTAATTTATTCTTCCCTTGAATACTCCATACAGTGTGATGTCAATTCTTGTTTTAATTGAGTCAATAGAACCGTTGCAATCGTGTTTATGACCTAGCAACTGATGATTTTGTTTTACATTTATTTTTTACGATAACTAGTAGTGATTTATATAATGATCAGTATTAGTAAGTAACAATTAATCAATCATGTCTCGCATTTGATAAGAGTCTACCTATAGCACATTGGATAATTTTTAGAGGGGAAAAAACTTTCACGCTAACTAATTATAGTATAAATAAGAGATAATCCATAAAATGCCATTGACAAGCGTCCAAGTCCCAGAAATGCCATCGACAAGTGTGAGTTCCAAGAAATGCTATCGTACAAACGATTTTGTCCCAAAAATGCCATCGCCGTTAGGGTTCCGTCCATGCCACGCCGTTAAGTTCTATAGGATGAACAGTGTATTTAACGGCGCGGAATGGACGGAACCCTAACGGCGATAGCATTTTTGGGACAAAATCGCTTGTACGATGGCATTTCTTGGAACTCACACTTGTCGATGGCATTTCTAGGACTTAACGCTTGTCAATGGCATTTCATGGATTATCTCTATAAATATAGTGTAGACTAGGATGTAAATTTATTTTAGATATTAAAACTTGCACTGGCTTGATAGGTTGCGCAGGTAATTAAGTAGGAGGGTGCAGGTTTGAATCCTCCTATCTTCATATGCACGAATCTTGGAGCAGATCCAACGGCATAAAAATCAAACGTTTTTCTCCCCAAAAACTGTCGCAAAATGCCAGCAAAAGGAAAAAAAAAAGAAACATATTTTAAAAAAGAACATCTTTCTATTGGAGGAAGTACGCACTGAGAATAATCAATTTACTGAACAATAATAATAATAAGTGACATAATACAAAGATCAATTAAAACACACCCCACGTATGCATCTCGTGCGGCTAAATTAATTAAGCTTTTTAACTAGCTAGATTCATTCTACGAGTTGATGACGTAGCACTTCTTCCTGATCTCTCCTTCCTCCCCGGTGAGCACCTGGACGTTGCCCATCTTGGTCATGGACTCGCCGAAGTCGCTGAAGAACTCGGCGTCGAACTTGCCGGTGGCGATCCGCCGCACGTAGTCCCTGGTGGTGGCGTCGGTGAGCAGCGACGCGTCGGAGGAGAAGAGCCCCCTCCGCTTCGCGACATGGCGGTAGTAGCTGGTGTCGAACGTCTTGTAGCTGCCCGGGTCCATCTCGGAGATCATGCCGGACTCGTCGGTGGCGCTCGCGCACCTGGCCCTCAGCCTGCCGGCGTACTCGCCGTCCAGCGACGGGTCGGCGTCGTTCTTGCCGGTGAAGTTGTAGAGCCTGCCGGCGTAGGACGGGCAGTGCGCCGTGCCGAGGGTGTGCGCGCCGGAGAGCACGGCGAGGTCCTTGATGTCGAGGTCGTTGGCGGCGAAGATCCTGAGGAGCGTCGCGATGTCGCCGTCGGCGGGTGGCAGGCTGGCGGCGGCCTCGCCGGCGGCGGACACCCTGCCGTCCCTCCTCCCCAGGGCGACCGGCCAGGTGGGGCCCCGCGCCAGCACGACGGCGTCGCGCGCCATGAGCGTGAGCACGTCGGCGCACGACACGGTGCCCGGGCACGCCGCCTCCAGCCTCGCCTTCACCCGCTCCACGGAGCCGAACCCGCGCAGGCTCTTGTTCGGCTTCGCGTCGCGCTCCGCCACGTTCCCCGCGGTGGAGCTGAGCAGCACGGACGCGTCGCACCCCTGCAAATTGCAAAAAAACACGACATCGATCGATCGATCAATCAATGGCGCCGCCGTGCACGCGACGCGACACGACGCCGGCGACCGGAGTACGTACCCGGACGAAGCAGTCGTGGAAATGGAGGCGGAGGAGCGGGCCGGCGAGGCTGGGGGCGGCGCCGATGATCTTCTCCATCTCGTCGCGGACGATGGCCTCGACGTTCGGGCACGTCTCGCGGTAGTAGTCGACGCGGAGCTGGTCAGCCGCCGCGGCCGCAGAGCCCGCGGCGACAAGCACCACGAGCAGCAGCAGCGCGACACAACACCTGGAGATCGCCATGGCCACGACACACAAATCAACAACCAAATTAAGCAAAGAATGTTTTGCTGCTCGATCTGCTGATGCTGCTGCTAGCTGCTGATCTAGATGGCTGGCTGTGGATGAGCATGTCCTCGCAGAGCTCAGTGTATTTATAGAGACGTGTGCATGACTAGTGACGCACAGGTGACAACCTGTACGTTTTTCCAGTGTATTTTCCCTGCGTACTTAGCTTAGGCATGTGCTTACCTTCCGGCTCTAATGCAAAATCAGCTCCAATAACAAAATCGCACATGTATGCCTCCTCATACGTACGCGTTGTGGCGACGACGCGCGGCTCAGCTAGCCAGCAATGAGCTAGTCAATACCCAAAAAAAAAACATTTTTTTATTTTAGAAAAAACAGAGAGTAAAGGACGGCGCCGAGGCCAGTTCATTGGAGAGGGGATAGTAACATGATTCATGTATAAATGTAGTACATAATCTACACGTCTAATTAGCTAGGTACGACGATATGGGAAGGGAATGCATTAAGACAATAGATTAATCAAAGAGATATATGTGAATTCGTCAAGGGAATAACGTCCCATGTGCTTGGGAGCTTGCAATGATTTGGGGCTGTTCCTGCTTGATTGGTTAGCTGTGTATGTGTTGGTAGTAATATTAAAATATTATTATTATCTCTGTGTGATGAGGAGGAATTCTTGGGTGATCATGGAGATACAAAATGTAGGGAGTTATATATCTAAAAAAAAATTAATTATACACATACGTAGCGTAATGTACGTGAAGGTTACGAAAGATGCATGTTCTCCGCAGCATTGGCCGGTAGGTTGACCGGGCGGCGTTTTTGGCTCTTTTGGGCGTCATTGGCCAAAGCGTACAGGAATGTTGTTTTGGAACGTAATTATTACGTACAAATTGAACAGGATGGTTCTGGAGCCTGAACATATTCCGGGATACCTGCTTGTATGTTGGATTAAGGGTTTGTTTGGTTTAATACCTACCAAAATATTGGTAGTGCTAAAACCTAGGCAAGTTTTGGCACTACTAATTTTTTGGTAGGGTAGAGTTGTATTTGGTTGGAGACCAATTTAGAACAAGCTTTGAGTAGAGTATAGAAAATATCAAACTAGACATTGGCAATGCCAATGATTTGGCTTCAAGCCAAAACCACCATATACACTATTCAAACTATCAAAATATTGGTAGGGCACCGTTTTGACACTAATCCAAAAAGGCTCTAAAAAAAAGAGAGAAGAAAATGCAGGTTTGCTACTGGTTTATATGTGTGGTATTAAAATAGGCTTGACCACTTGCAGTTGACGTAGCAGCTTGTTGGAGTGGAATGTATGCTTTGCATATGGGCTGAGGCCACAAATGCCAGGATGGCCGGGCCCTGTGTCGTTTTTCACAAGACAAGGATGGGCCCTATTTCAGCTTATAAGCCACAGAAAAAAATGAATTTCAGAATTAATTTAAGTGATTTTCGTCGTATTTTATTTTCCAGCTAATAGTATGAGTACAGAAGACTTAGCCAAAAATCATCCCCTTTGTAATCGGATTTGTTAAATGCATTAAATATAAATTTAAAGATGAAAAACTTATCGATTTTGTATCGTTAGATCAACGCCTAGATTTATGCTAGGCTTCTCCTCCTCTAACTCAGAGGTGGTGCCACGACTTTGACATGATACTTACGGTCTGTTTGGTTGGAGGAAGTTTTTATGATGGATTGGCAGTTTAGAGGGATGAGGCTATTAACTGTTTTATTTGGTTGGGGGACATAAAAATTTTAGTGGGATGGGGATGGGGAATTGAGAAATGAACTCCCTTCTTTTCAATATCTGGGTAGGGGCAGGTAATTGGGAGGGAATTCCTCCTTTACTTCGCCTAAACAAATCTCAGCCATCCGTTTTCATTATAATCTAATCTCCAACTAAACTCCCTATCAATTTCCACCACCTCTACCAAACAAGAGACTGGGATGAAAAATCAAATTCCCATCTTAATCTCACTATTAATTCCCTCTTGTAAACTCCCAATCCCCTTCCCTCAAGTTGCCAAACAAGCCATTATGGATTAGGATCTAGGGTCACACCAATTTGAATTTTAATTTTTCAAACTAAAATGCTATGTAAAAACCACATCACGTACGTAAATCTAATCACCATCCAAACCGTCCTTGAGAGGCAAATTGCTATGGTTTTAACAGTTGTCTTGTCGGTTTTGCGTTTAGGGATGTAAATCAAACTTGTAGAATAGAAATTCAATGGAGTTTCATGGGCGTTCTGTACCAGTCCTTGGGCCACCTTTTCTGGAGATCCAGAAGGATTGTATTTCTGTGCATAATAAATTCTGAAGTGTTTAACGATTCTACTCAAATGCTGATTAGATTTGAAGAGATGATAGAGCCACAGTCCCAAGAAATTAACTTGAAATTGTTTTATGCAACCTAAATATTATTATATTGCTAATCAGAAAAATCATGTATGTGTTGTTGATTGTGGTCATGTGGTGGAATAGATTATAACAATGCAAATTAAAGAGCCATACTCAAAACATCACATGTAATATATTAAATTTCAAATGTGGCCACAAAATTTGAATTCTATCTTAAGGAGCAGAACCAAAAGCAGCAAATGTAGCTCAAGTGTTCGACATTATTCCTGATAGGGAGACAAGTACAGTAACGCACACAAAACAAGCAGGCTTGAAGCCTTTCAAACATTATTCCAGAATTCATATCGGGAATCAGAAGCACAAGAGTACCCATTATTCGCATCTGGCGTTCAGCAACTAGCCGGGACAAAACCGATCTTCTCCGCGGCGACGTCGTAGATCACCTCCGCCGATCGCTGCTGCGTGTTCCCGATGATGGACAGAGGCAAGCCGCCGGTGTCCATCGCCGCGAACGCGAGGCACCCGACGTTCTCGTCCAGGAAGATCATGACCCCGAAGAAGTCGAGCTCGAACACGGCGCCGTCGCCGAACCTGAACGACACCGCCGGGACGACGACCTCGCTCTCGCCGGCGAAGTCGTAGCACGCGTCGAGCACGTCGTTCGGCGGCGCCGGCGTGTACCGCTCCATGGTGAGCCTGAACCTGTCCCGGAGCAGCGCGTACGCCTGCGCCGGGAGGTAGGTGAGGACGGTGCCGGAGTCGAGGAGGGTGCCGCCGCGAGTGAACACGGCCGGCGGCACCGGCAGGACGTACCCGCCGATGTCGATGGAGACGAGCTCGACGAAGTAGAAGGACGGGAACTGCGGCTTCCGCAGCATCGCCGTGTACTGCGCCGCGCCGGTGTCGGTGGCCGGCGTCGCGCCGATGGTGAGGTACCCCGTCGTGCTGTTGCTGGACGGCAGGCAGTAGGAGAAGACGGCGCCGAACGACGCGGCGGCCTGCGACGGCAGCGAGAGCTCGCCGCGGCCGAGGCCGAGGAGGCCGTCGACGCGGCCGAAGTCGCCGAGGTTGCGCGTGCCGCACCCGAACGGGAAGCCGGTGAGCGCCCGGGAGGAGGTGAGCGCGAGCGTGTCGCGCGAGAGGACGCCGGTGGTGGACGAGCCGTCGCCGTAGCGGACGAGGTAGAGGCAGGTGGTGTTGTCCTCGCTGCACAGGTCGCCGGCGGCCGCGCACTGGGGCTCGCCGCAGTGCACGGCGGCGTAGGTGGACGACTTGGACGGGTCGAACAGCGGGTCCTGCTGCGGGTGGCAGTGGCCGGAGGAGCCGCAAGGCTGGCACTGCACCCACGACAGGTCGCTGCCGGTGTCGAAGATGAGCGCGGACGGCTGCGCCGGCGTGCCGAGGCCGACGGCGACGACGAACTCCAGCGTGTCGAGGTAGGTCCCCGAGCGGTCCGGGATTGTCACGGCCGGTGCCGGCGCCGGCGCCACCGACACGGCCGGAATGGGTGGCATGGCCGTCGGCGGCGACGCGTACGGAGCGAGGGAGGCGGCGGCCGACGCGGACGACGACCTCTGGAGGATGGTGCGCAGCCGTGCCCTGTCTCGGACGTGGATGTCGCGCGCCGCCGGCTTCTCGGCGGCCGAGTTTCGGATCGAGAGCTTGCGGCCAGATGTTGCGGCTGAATAATTTTCAGGTAGTGGAGGCAAAATCAGAGAATGCCAAGAGGCGCTCATACAACTAGCTAGGGCTCTTTTTTGTTGGAGACTGAACAATTGAAAGCAATTAATCATGCAAAGCAAACTCACGCACACAAATTCATAACACCGGAAAATGTATGTTTTGCTGTTCAAAAGGAAATAAAATCTTACTTGCGTTCTAGCATTTTTTTTTTCGGATGTAGCTACCAAACAATGAACAGATTTTTTCGGTATTGCTATAAATATGGCGACACATTTTTTCTTAATTCTCAGTCGAAATTTTTCTAAGCCTTTGATTGGCTGGAGCGCCGCTTTTTTCGGTGGCATAGGCCTCATCAATTGCATTTGTTTGGCTCGTAGCACTGCTTTCACTGTAGCTCGTTGGCACATTCTTTCAAATAAGTAATCAATATATGTAATTTTCAATGCAAAATATAGAAATTACATTGCACTTACATTATAATTACACTTATATATGTAATTTAGAGATTTACATATGTAATTTTGGGACTTATACATTATAAATACACTAAAATTACATATGTAATTTAGAGATTTACAATGTAAATATATGCCGACTATTTTTTGATGAAAAATATGGCGCTATAAATATAGTTACTCCTGATTTTTTTTAGGTGGAAAATTTTCAAACATAGTTTAACTTATACTCCATATGTTACTAGTATGTTTAGTTGGTTAGCACTTAGCAGTGTGGGCTTCCATGTTCAGTTGGTACTTGGTTAGCAGTGTGGGCTTCCGGGCTTCCGGCTGCTAGGCATAGGGCAAAAAAACCGGACAGGTAAGTAACCCAGACGATGCCTTGGTTCACCGGTCCAACGGTCTGACCGGTGAACCGCCGGTTGAACCGCGGTTCAATAAGTTATTATATATAACATGCATATCTCCAAAACAAAACGAAGCAAAGGTGGGATGGTTAAGCCTACTCGCAGACCCAGGTTCATATCCCCATTCCACCACCCTTTTCTATGCATTTTGTCGAAAAAAACAGCCGTGTGGGCCTATAGGGCATGGACTGGGCCTTAACGTGGCCTATTAAACTCCTTTGTCCGGTCCAACCAAGCCGGTTTAGTCAAAACCCGCCCGGTTCAGCCGGTTCAATCCGGGTCGAATGCATGTCTGGTCTTTCAGTTGAAACAAACCGTGGAGACCTCTGGTTCTGGTTTTTTCTGTTCGAACTGCCTACCCGGTCCGGTTGTTTCCACTATGCTGCTAGGTCGCAAGTTTGATTCCCTTCATCCGCACGTGCTCGTGAATTTTTTTTCCTCATATCTTGAGGTGATCTAATGGCTGAAAATTCGAAAGTTTAGAGACAAGAAAACTGATGAATTGTTTTTAGCCATTCCGTTTTATTTTTTCTCTTTTGCCACAATAATTATATCTCTTTGAACACAAATGTTTTCCTTTTAATATATGACACTACCAATTTTTGGATTTGACGTTTGAGTATTTATCTTATTGGAAAAAAGTAAATATCATTTGTTACTAAGTATATTGTGACATAATTTATAAGTGTAATTTTAACACGACTTACATTTGTTATATTTGTACTATTTTTTCTATAAGACAACAATATCATATATTGAAAAAACAAACAGTACAACTTCAAGCAATAAATTTTGTATATTTCTAGTAAATGTTGTTACAGAGTGTATAACATATTTGTAAATCCGAACATAACTATAATATCATAAAAAAGTACTATTCGAGCAAACAACTTATATAACATTATGACTCATGTAACATACTAAACATTCGAAAGATGCTTATGCTCAAATTTTAAAATGTTTGGGGAAGCGGTTGTTGATGCTATGGTGGCAGAGTTATTGGTTCACAGTTCACACGACTTTTAAGCACTCTGGAGCTAGTGTCTTGTAAGGCTACATATTTGTGAGTGGTTGCATTTTAGCATGTGTTAGGGCCCAGGGGGTACATTCATTGGTGTGTACACGAGTCTGGTGTAGATGTTCATGTACACAAATGTGTTCCGTTTGATCACAATTTTTCATGTTCGAGTAACGTAATACTCCATCCATTTCTAATAGATGACGTCGTTAACTTTTGAACCCATATTTGACCAATCTTCTTATTTAAAAACTTATATATGCAAATGTATACGATATAAATCATGCTTTAAATATTTTAAGTGATAAACCAACTCACAAAAAAATAAATTATAATTACGTAAATTTTTTGAATAAGCCGAATGGTTAAATATGTGATAAAAATTCAATGGTGTGTCATCTATTAAAAAACGGAGGTAGTATAAATAAGAATTTAAGTAAGATTTGATATTCATTCCATTGAAAGTTTGACACGTGCTAATGGCCGGTATACGTGCTCACTTCACGTGTGCCTCTTTGATTAAAAGATTAAAAAAATCATTTGATGAAGAAAGGAGAAATATCGCATGCCGACCACAAATCGATCGATCGGATAATCCAAACGTTGTGCTTTCTGAATAGCTCGGGTGATCCCATATTTCCCATACCTGGGGACGTCAGGGGAGGGGAATGAACTTGATGACCATTGTATCCACGCAGCTCGTCGAGGCTGGCCGTCAGGTAGCGCCGCCGCGAACCGGCGAGAACGCCGCCGCTGAGAAGGCAGCTGATCAGCACGAGCAAGCACACCACCAGCGGCGGATGAGGCAACGCCATTTGGTTGATAGCTAGTGGCCAAAGCGATTTGGGTGATTATGGGTTCTTATAAAATACAGAGATACATACACAGTAGGCGTGGCCTCCAAGAGTGTGTTAATTACATTGGTCTTGGCCGAACTTATCTAGGGAGAAACTTTGTTGATGAGTACTACATTTGTCCTAAAATAAGTGCGGCCGTGGATATTCGTGTCTAGCGTTTGACCGTCCATTTTATTTTTAAAATTTATAATTTTTTTTAAAAAGAGTCATTCATGTTTTCATCTAATAACAATAAAATATTAATCATAAAAACAACAAAGTACTAATAAAAAAATTTAAATAAGACGGAACGTCAAATGTTAGATATGAACAATGTAAAAATACACTTATTTTAGAACGGAAGGAGTACATGGGAATGGGAATATATACGGGATATTTTGCGTAGCTAATTAGGCTTCATCGTGATGTATGTATCTATGTCCATCGATCAATTGCTGCGACTACGGTTTCCTACATGAACAAAGCGTCGGCGATGGAACCGATGCAAGTGTTTTTCATGGAGGTCTTTTCATCAGCCAAATCAAAATTAAATGATCAGCAGTTATATTTTGATACGGAGGATGAACAAATAAAAAAAAACATGAATATTTGGACCTACCATGACAAAAGGTTATTTACATTTTCATATAAAAGTGAATTATTTTGTGTTGGTCAAGCAAAGGAATATCAAAGAGTTTTATTCTACTATTTTTGGTTGTAAGCTTAGAAATTTCCCTGTGAAATATCTTAGTATTCCTATGCATTTTAGAAAACTTAGTAACAAGGATTGGAAAACAGTTGAGAAAAGAATTGAAAAGAAACTTAATAGTTGGAAAGGTAAACATATATCAGTTGGGGGAGGTTGGTGTTGATTAATTCTGTGTTTTCTAGTTTAGCAATGTTTATGATTTCTTTTTTAAGATTCCAAAAGAAGTTCTTCAAAAAAAATTGATTATTATAAATCATGTTTCTTTTGGTAAGGTGATGAGCACAAGAAGAAGTATAATAGACTTACTAAATGGGATATGATTTGTTAACCCAAAGATCAGGGTGGTCTTGGAGTTCATAATCTTGAAATTCAAAATCAATGTCTTTTGAGTAAATGATTGTTTAGGCTCATAAATGAGCAAGCCGAGTGGCAGGATCTATTGAAAAGAAAATATCTTTATAATCAATCCTTAAGTCAGATTGAGAAGAAACAAGGGGATTCCCATTTTTAGTCTGGTTTTATGAAAGTTAAGAGTAAGTTTCTACATATGGGTTCCTGGATTATTAATAATGGCGTACAAGTGAGATTTTGGGAGGATAAATGGGTAGGGAATTATTCTTTAAGAGAAAGGTATCCGGCGTTATATGCTATAGTTCATAGGAGGAATGCTTCAATTGCAAATGTTATGTCTTCTGTTCCACTGAATGTTTCTTTTAGGAGAGCTTTAGTAGGACATAATTTAAACAATTGGCATAATTTATGTGTTTCAATTGTTCATATTCATTTGTCAGAGGTGAATGATATTTTTAGATGGAATTTCCATCAAAATAGTGTGTTCTCGGTTCGGTCTATGTACTTAGCTTTAAAGAAAGGTATCCATCATTATATGCTATAGTTCGTAGGAGGAATGCTTCAATTGCAAATGTTATGTCTTGTGTTTCACTGAATGTTTCTTTTAGGAGAGCTTTAGTATAACATAATTTAAACAATTGGCATAATTTATGTGCTTCAATTGTTCATATTCATTTGTCAGAGGTGAATGATATTTTTAGATGGAATTTTCATCAAAATGGTGTATTCTCAGTTCGGTCTATGTACTTAGCTTTAATTAATAATGGCAATATTGAGAGGAATAAGATTATATGGAGACTTAAGATGTCTCTCAAGATTAAGATTTTTATGTGGTACCTATTTAAAGGGGTTGTTCTAACAAAGGATAACTTATCTAGGAGAAATTGGCATGGTAGTTTCAAATGTTGTTTTTCCTGAGAAATGAGACTATTCAACATTTGTTTGTGGAGTGTCACTATGCAAAATTTATTTGGAGAGCTCTACACTTTACTATTGGTTTATATTCTCCTCATAGTATATCTCATACTTTTTAGAATTGGCTTGTGGGAGTTAATAAAAAAATCTACCAAACTTATTCTTGTTGGAGCATCCGCTATATGTTGGGCTATATGGTTGTGTAAAAATGATATGGTTTTGATAAATCACCATCTATATCTTATATGCAGGTTCTTTTAAGAGCAACATGTTGGCTCCGGTCTTGGGCTCAGCTGCTAAAGTGTGATGAAGAAATCAAGTCAGTGAAAGCTGCATGTCGTAATTTTGAGTCATTGGTTATGCAGCTATTCGCTAACTTTGGATGGAGATTAATAAATAGAATTCAATAATTTTTGTTATCTTTTTATGTTGTGTGAGTTCTTATTAGTTCGTCTGTGCTTTTGTTTATTCAGGTGTGAGTTTTTGTTGAATTGGTGTAATAATTGGTTGTAGCTCTTTGAGCAAAGGCCGGGATTATATTCCATTATCTAAAAAAAATGGACTCATACATTGCTCTATATTACACCCTCCGTCCCATTTTAAATACAACCGTGAGTTTACGTGTCCAACTTTAATCCGTCCATCTTATTTCATATTTTTTATAATTAATATTTTTATTATTATGAGATAATAAAACGTAAATAGTACTTTATGCATCACTTATGTTTTTAAATTAAATTAAATAAGACAGACGATTAAAGTTGGACATGGAAAATCATGGTGCTTAAAATGAGGCGGAGGGAGTATTTGCTAATAAAATAACACACAGGTTAAGCACATTTTGCACAGTGCGGCGAAGACAAGGTGAAGAAGAGCACAAACAGAGGAAAACCCAAGGAATAAGTTCATCTGAGGTCCTTAATTTTGCACCGAATCCGATTTTCATCCTTAAACCTGAAAACCAGATACAACCGGTTCCTAAACTATCAAAACCAGTGCAAATAAGGTCCCTCAGTGGTTTTGAAGACGGTTTTGACTGGCGTGGCTCCTACGTGGCTGGTTTGACTACGTCTCCGTCTTACGTGGCATTGACGTGGTGCTTACGTGGCAAATATATCTTAGAAAAATAGTAAAAACCATGGGTCCACCTGTCAGCTACACAAAAAAAATAAAAATGACGGGCCCACGTGGTCCCACATGTAAGTAAAAAAAGTAGGGCCCACGTGTCAATACATCGCGAGAGAGAGAGAGGATAGAGGGGATGAGGCGCTCAAGCTCTGTGTCGGCGCCGCCGCCGCCCCACCGCTCCGCTCCGCCCCTCCGCGATCTGCCGCTCTGCCCACCCCTCAGCTCCGCCGCCCCTTCGCCGGCATGCTCGTGCCGCCGCTCTGCCGACTGTGAGGCGGCGCCGCGATCTTGACAGGACTTACTTCACGTTCCTCAATCTCACAGTTGAAATCAAAATGCAAAGGAGTTTCTGACATATGCAGTGCTTGAAGAATCGTTGCCACAACCTCAGAAGCAATTACTTTTCCAGCCTGCAGCTGAAATTGATTCACCAGGTTTAACCTTGTGAGGGCAAAAAAGTATGCATGAAGGATAAAATAAGACTGAAGCAGAATAAAGATCAGGAAAAACAGCAATGAAAATGGGCGCAATGGAGGAAGGCAGCGAGGCGCAGCCGGCCAGCCGCCGCTCCAGCCGGAGGCCGTGTCAGCCGAAGCCTCGGAGAGTCGGAGCTGCCGCCTCCAGTTCCAATGGACCAAGACGCGCGGCCAGGCCAGGCGGCAGCTGCGGAGCCCATGGAAGGGGAAGCTGAAGGCGCCGCGGCGGCCGCGAGGACCATGGAGGGCGAAGCGGGATACGCCGCGGCGAATGCCGACCCCATGGAGGATGAAGCGGCAGACGAAGCCGGCGCCGTGGAGCCCATGGAGGACGACCCGCCGACGTCGTCCCCGACCCGGTCCGCGCCGTCCGCCACTGTGGCCGTTGACGACTCGACCATCGCGCGGAAGCGTCGCCGCCGTAAGAAGCAGTTCCCCGGCATGATCCCAACGGCGGGTGTTCATGTCCTCCGAGCAGCCGCCTCCGCCCCATCCGCGGCGCATCTCAATGGCGTCCCTCACCGCCGTGGTCGGCCCCCAACCTCCTCACTCCGCCTCGCCCGAGAGCTCGATACTGAGGCTCTCATAGCCCTCGTGGCGGGGTTCCCGGCGGACTCCCTCTCCGAGGATTAGGTCGCCGCCGTCGTCCTCCCACGCATCGGTGGCGTCGACCAGACCAACTATCTCGTCGTCCGCAACCACGTCCTCGCGGAGGGGTGGGGAGAGCAGCGGGGCGGCGCCGACGTCGACACACTAGAGCTTGAGCGCCTCGTCTCCTCTTTCCTCTCTCTCGAGCGATGTATTGACTTGTGGGCCCTACTTTTTTAAATTATTTTTTAGTTGGCAGGTGGGCCCACGGTTTTTATTATTTTTCCGATATATAATTGCCACGCAAGCGTACGTCAAATGCCACGTGGGACGGAGACTTAGTCAAATCAGACACGTAGGCGCCACGTCAGCTAAAATCGCTTTCAAAACCACCGAGCGACCTGATTTGCACCGGTTTTGACAGTTAAACGACTAGTTGTATCTAGTTTTCAGGTTTAATGATGAAAATCGGATTCGGTGCAAAATTAAGGGACCTCAGATGAACTTATTCCAAAACCCAAGCATGAAAGTGCTGTCCGCACGATTACGTGATGACGCGTGGGCCAACCTTCGGTGCTGTGGGCCCCATTCTAGATTAGTCAGCCCATCGACCGATCCCATCGAGGCATTCAATGGGCGGAAAATGTACACCGAAGGTCCCTGAACTTGTCATCGAGTTAGAAAAACGACCTCAAACCACAAAAGCAGATATCTGGAGTCCCTTAACTAATCAAAACCGGTCACAATAGGTCCTTCGGTGGTTTCGATCTGGTTTTGTCCTATGTGGCGGTTGAGTCAGCGTGGGACCCCACGTGGGCCCCACATGTC